ATACAGAAAGCTAAAAAATTATTTTTGTAATCACCAGTACTGTTAGTTTAGAGCAGCAGTGGCACACACCATAATTTGTTAAAAACCTTACATAAATTTGTTTTAATAAATTTGTTAAGCATTGTATATAGTGAATATAGTTTAAATCTTGCATTAAAAATTAAAATAAGAATAAAGATGATAAATAAGAATAAAATCACAAACTCAGTGGTAACCAATAGGTAAGAGTAATGTTCTGCAGGAACACACGTTCACTTTGACCACAGTCACGTCTTTCTGTCATTTCTTTACCCTGTAATAGGCGGTTATGAAGCGTCTGATATTTATATTCAGAAAATTACACGCTGTTATCCCCTTACAGTTGCTACTCTCATAAAATACTTGCAATGCATGTTGACCGTTAAATCTTAATTGAACTTTCAACAACAGATATTTCAGCACAATAAATGTTTTTGCGCTGATTATTAATTGTCTCTGTTTTCCGTCTGTCTGACGCTCATTCAGTAAAGATTAAAACTTAACACAGACTGTCAGCACGGACCTTTATGCAAAAATGGAAATGCTCACGTTTATTTGTGACATTTATACATAAGGATATGACCATAAACTAAAAGTTTTTGCGCTGAGGACGCACACGAATCATCTGTCAAAGCGCCTGACAGGGCAAGCCATTACGCTAATGCATTAGCTTAAAGCTTAAAATAAAGAATTCTCATGTTTTGGGCGGCTTGGATCACGTAACTTTACTACCTTTCTATTACCTTTCTTTCTAACCTCCTTATAGGTGTCAAAACCACTGTTTTCTCCTTGTCGCACACCCAGAGACTTTTAAACTTCAACAATGAAAATACAGTTGTTTGCCGGCCCAAAACTGGTCCACATCTTTTTAGCCAGAACTGAACCAAAACAGTGCCATAACCCAACCCAGAGTGAGCCAAATACCATCACCCCTTCCCTTTAATTCTCTTTTCTACTAGTTACAACCGGTTATAACGCGAAATAAACACGCTCATGTCATGTAATCTCAATCAGTTTTGCAACCGCGGAAAAATGCCAATAAAACAGCATTACCTTTACCTCAGGCAAGTCATTCAGTGTCCACAGCTTGTTGCTAGAAAAGTGCAATGTGCAGTTTATATGCTTGCATACATTTTTTTTTTAGTGTTGGTTATTGTATCTAAAAATAAATAGAAATTTAATTTAATAGATTGGGCTCTGTTGTTAAATGCAGCCTTTAATATTTTAGTAATGTGCTCTAATAGGGCTCCCTATTGTATAGCATTAGCTAAGATATATTTTTTATCCTTAAGACAATTTTAATTATAATTGAGTTTATTTAAAGGCAGAGCCATAATTGTTCAGTAAACCACTGTTTATGTTGATATGGGCCAGATCCGTGCCAAAGGAAATTTGCTGACTGGGTAGTTAGTTAATAGTGAGAATTGGTCCCTGAACTAAAGTGTGACCAAATATTCTGCTACAAATGCATATGCAATAAGGTCTACTCTACTCCTTTTCATCACTAATTTTTCACTGTGTCTTTATTTAATCCTTACAGTAGTTTTTTTAACACCAAAAGAGGGTTTCCACTAGCGCAAGCTGTTAGTAAATGTGTTGAGCCCTGAACATGAAATTTGGCTTTAAGTATCATCCAAAAAATCAAGCATAGCGTTAATTCTGGCAGGTCACGAGAGTCAAGCTTGCATCAGCTGACTCTCAGGAATACGACGCATATCACGGTATTCCTATATTAGGTCTATTCTGTATTATTCAGCAGCTTTATCGCTTGCTCTGGAGAAAATTAGACAGTGAATTCCATCTCTGTAGGAAGAGTACAATCAGGAATTTTGCGAGAGGGGTTTGTTCCTCACACAGTTTGATTGACTGTTGACAGTTCGTTGATTGATACGAGCTGCAAGATTGGAAGTGGCCTGAGCGAGCGATGCTTCTCGAAGTGATATATCATTGACATTGGACTCTTTGCCTGCAAATCATCGCTGAAGTTGTGCTAATGTGACTGCATCAACAACAGTTTACACGAGATCTGCCTTCCCTGCTGGAAGGAGTAAGATATCAAGAAGGGGATCAAGCATCCATCACAGCTGCCTATATCTTACCATTTATTCATCTCTGAATGTCTTCACAAAGCTAAGCTAAATTTCTTCTTTTATTCTCATTGCTTAAAGGTATCAGGGAATTGGAAAATATTGCTCGTTGTTTAAGGCTAGTTGTTCAGTAACATGCTTGTTGCTATAGGCTTATTGCTTGTATTTCGACACTCTGGTACCCAGTTAAACTTACCACAGCAGAGGCTGTTGTTTAAGGCTATCTGATTGATGAAACATGTGCTTGCTGCTTAAGGCTAATCTAGTATTGGAAATGCCATTTCTTCAAGCTTATCCGACTATTATTGCCAACATGCTGTGTTTCAGACAGCAGCATGCTTGTTGCTTAAAGCTATCTAGTGTATCGGTAACATACTTGTTACTTAACGCACAGTATGTAAATTTCGCTACTAAAGGTTGTTATTCAAATGCTAACAACATCATCTGGATAAGGGCAACATGCTTGTTGCTTAAACTTCGGGTATTGACCATATGCTTGTCGCTTAATCTTTTCAGGTACTGCATTAAAGGGGCATGCTGCTCTTCTTAGCCACTTATTAAAGAAGAGCACCCATTTGCTGTTACTCTCCTCCTGTAAGGGGCATGCTGCTCCAGCCTCTGCTATTTCAGAAGAACATGTTTCTCCTTTCAGATTTGCCATCAGTTTGTGGTTTGGGGGTTATTGCTGCTCTCCCTGCTCATTCATGACAGGCTGTATGGATGAGCGGGGAGATTTTACCTAGAACAGAACCATTCCGCCAATCCAAACTGTATGCAAAGTGTCAATCATTTTGACGATAGTGGTCCTAACAGAATTATATTTATCCAAATAGTTCTTGTCATTTTAATGCTTCTACATTATTTATATAATTCGCATAACATGTTCCTATTTTGATCTCTTTGCGTGATCCTTGCAAGATCACATTAGTCTTATTACTCAGATTTTATAATACTTTGCTGCTGTTTTTCCACAAACTGCCAGTTAGCATTAAGCTATCATTGTAGGTCATGTGTTGAGGGTTAAGTGGGTT